CTAAACAGGAGGACAAAACTGAGGTAAATCAAAACAGTGAGGCGAGTGTTACTGTCGTTGACAGGAAGAACAGCATCTCGATGATTCTTGACCCTACACGGGCTAAAGGCACTTCAGAGATGAAAGAAAAGAAAAAGAAGAATGCGGACGCCTTTATCGACAGAATATCAAGAGTACTTTTCCCGACTGCCTACGTAGCTTTTTTAGTTTGTTATTTCATGACATATATGGCTTAAATAAGGGCAACATGGAGTTGTTTTTTAGCGCGTTAATGGTAGTTAGTGCTTACGCACGCTAAGTGGGTCCATAGATGTTAGTGTCAATTTGTAAACTAGTAGTTACTGTTAGCCAACTTGTTAGCACCGTTTAGTGTACTGTTTGTAATCTGCTGTCTGTTACTAATAAAAAATAAACAAAATTTAAAAAAACGTTACGCACGCGCGCATCTGAAAGCCCGTTTCTAAAAACCCTCCTTAATGAGCTTGGCGGTGACGTCATAAAATTTAGCCCTCGCGCAAGACTGACAAACGGTTGTCTGTGAAAACAAATCGGAAGAAGTAGCGGAATATTTGAATTTTTTTTCTTACACAATTCTTCCAGAAAATGATGGATGCCCGGGTTCAAACAATGTCGTCTCAGTAGCAGCTTAAGCGTCTTGTTGAAGTGCTGGGTTTTCAAGGTAGCAGTTGTACGGAGTTGTTTGCTCCCATTGGAATACGGACGATCAATAAAGGTTAGAGGTACTGAATAAGCGTTTGAACTGAAAAAAAAATTATATGCTGAGTTAAACTTGCTATTAAGTATATTTTGAATAAACTTTCAATAGATTTGAACACTCGTAATTGCTTTTCTTGATGCTGAACTAAAGAATCACGTTTACGGCCAGCAAACGGACTGCGATCGATTTCTCGCTATTGCTTCGCAAATTCGAATGAGAAACCATTGATATTTGTATACATAATTTATTTGTGTGTACCTTAAAAAAATGTATTTCAGTAATAATTAGTACTATACAATTTGTCGAAAAAAAAATGTATGAAATGCTTTTTCATTCAGAAAACTTCCCCTTCTCTAGGTACTTTTTCTTGTGAACACACAAATGTGGTCCGAGTTTCGTGTGAGTTCCAGAAATATGTAACCACTTTATGGAAACGCTGCCTCGCTAAACATACTTCGGCTGCTGTCTCCTCCACGGAGGCCTCTTTGATTCAGTTTTACTTTTTTATTGGAGTACCCAGCGGAGGCTAGTCTGCAGAGGAGAGAGGTTCATGCCCAGTTCTGCCTATGTCGGGATACGAAGCTCAACACACATACCCTGACACTTGAACTAATAGCCTAGTTTTCAATATACAAAAATCACATTAAGATTCATGGATGAATAATTCATTTCTTTCGTTTTATTCTCCTCGGTCTCGAAGCCAAGTATGAATTTTGAATTCGTAACTGCCGTAAATGTTCTGTTAAATGCAGGAGGCGTGTATTAAATTAAACTAGCTAATGGTCTTGTTTTTATAAATTTGTCTGGTCTTTCCGCAGCTCAGTGGGTAGACCACCCGCTAAGGATACAATAATGCATATATATGACCGATAACACATTATAATTGTTTAAATATAAAACTGGTGGCATCATTTAACACGTTTTTACGACTTACAAATTAAATAGCTTAGAAAATAGACGATATAAAATGGCCGCGTGAAAATGAGAAATTTCTAGAAGTGGCCAAGTAATGTTCTATCTATTTTTTGAAACTACCAAACCTTTTCACTTTTTTTGCTGCGAAAGGCGCGATTTATTATTATGTAACTATGGCAATGATGTTCTTTTTACGTGTGCCGATACTATAAACGCGTCATTTTCAGTCTTCACGTATGAAGATACCATAGGGCGCGATCCATTCAACCAAAATTCCAACCGGTCCGACCGCGAAAAGTGGTCCACCTCAAAAGGTGGACCCGTTTATTCGAAACTTTTCCGGTTGGACCGAACCGATCCACTGAGTTTTGGACCAAAATTTCCGGAAATTTTGGTTAAATGGATCGCCCCCCACGCTTTCGCGCGAAAGCTTACCTGGGATTTCATTGGTGTCATGTAACAACTAAATGTTTTCTATCTAAAAGACCTGTAGTGCGACATGTAAGTTAGGATTGTAAATATGACAAGTTCCTTAGTCTATTTGATGGCGTTTCCTTAGTAACAGAGAGATACATGTAACCTTTCTATATCAACCCATTTTACATTTAGAAAAGGCAATCACGACCAAAGTGCTTTTGCTTTTCACAGCCTCTCAAGCAAGTAAGTAGTATATTCCGATACGTATATTCTTTGTTTTCCATTTTCGTTAGTGATATCAGCTGGTCACTCTTAAATATAAGCCATGAACAGCGCTCTTAATTTGCTGAAACCGCAAACTACTTCTTGCAGAGATGTTTTAAATTAAACATGATTTCCCCCTCTTCTTTCTATTCACGCAATTACAACTATTTCATGATAATCCTAAAATTCTGGGACAGTGGACTGATGTTCAGAATTAAAACGGATAATTTTCGGGCACATTTTTCTCTCTTAAAGTTTTTCGTGTTTTTCTCACCGTTTTAGCTGACTGTTCATACAATTCTTCATCCAAATGAAGATTCACCGACACCGACTGCGGGGGAAACATTTGTCATTGTTATTTTGTAAAAGAGTAGATTATTTAGACCACTACGAGGGCATCTCACCTGGAATCTGCAGAAGAACTAAAAGTAATTTTAGCTTTACATGACGCACCAAGGGCCAAATCACACGAAGACGAAAGAAAAATATATTTTTCGTTCTATCATTTTAAACTAAGGTGCATTTCAAAGTAGGTACCATGAGGGCTCATTAAGTTTCACTGAATGAAACGTCGCATATAGTATTGTAGGGAGAAAGTGTTAACATATGATTTACGTGTTGTAAATTAAATTTAATTAAATTATTTCCCCCATATCCATCTTAGGTGGCAGGTGGTTTTACTAAATAAAAACGCGCTTTAAAGCCGGCTCTGCTTGGTCCTGACAATAAAGAATAAAGTCATTATTCGAGTCTGTTTTAACCAAATACCTGATTAATTGATAGGTGCTGGATATAGGCGTTGAAATGACGGCTATTTACTCAGATTAAAACTCGGGTGTGGAGAAAAAAAAAACATAGTTTAAGTAATGATTAACAGAACTGAGTAGAGTACAATCCTCAGGGAGTAATCAGGCGAATATAAGCTGTTCACAAGCACGACAGACCACATTGGCTGACAGCAAAGATATCATAGAAAGGTGAAATTAAAGGTTTGAACAGGATAACACCCGTAAATTAACAGTTAACTTTGTTAAATTCAGCGCGCAACGAATTTTTTGGGTATTGTACATATGCGTGTCTTTTTCACACCTATTAGTTCTAACATTTTTGTTCAGTTAACTATATCTAATCACGAAGTTTTTCTCAACACGAAGCTCAACTAATTTGATATTATTCACATTATGTCTATTCATATTATGTCGCAGGCGGCTTTTGTAAGCCCATTAGGTTTGAAACGTACCTAAAAATGTTCAAGAATACAACCGCGATGGTTCTTAAAGTTGTGTGTGTTGCTCTGATGCTGTCTAAAGAAATTTCAGTGTTGGCATGCAGTTTGAACACAAGTGGGAACATAAGGTAAATTTGAATCCGGTTCAAGCTTATTCTTTGGTCAATAAATCAACTTTGGGTGTTCTCATCTGAATGACCTTTCTTTTTAGTGAGAGGTTAACAATAGAGGGAATACCGCCAGTATTTGAACCTCAAAATGCTTCGGCCATTTTAAAGAAACTTTTGAGCAATTACGACAAAAGGCTGAGACCCGGACATGCAGGTAATTTTTCGTGTTTTCCTGTTTTTGTTGCCTTTGTTAAAATGAGACCATAGTTCATCCTCACTTGTCGCGAAAATTATTTCTTTTAACCGCGAAAACTAGTACCATAAGGTACCGGACAGATTTAGCGAAGAGTGTTTTGTTTTTGCCTTTTGCCAAAATCACCTTTTTTCTCTCAGAACGACCTTTTTTTTTTTCAGAACGACCAGTTGATATTGCGATAGACATTGGAGTGCTGTCTATTTCAAATATTGAGGAAGAAAACATGGTAAGCCAGTCTTCAATTTAGTAGCCTGAGTCGTAGACACCCTATACCGCCGGTATAGACTACATCAGTGGTTTGATGCGTGAGCCTGATGTAACGTAGGCTACACGGTTTTTTGCAGTTTATTTCTTTATACAATTTAAGTACTCTTGTATTCTTCATTTGGTTCACCTGCACGGAATCCAAGATAGTCTTGGATTCTACACCTGGAATCCACTCAGTGGAATTTAGATTCTAGATTCCAATCGTTAGTGGGATTCTAGATCCCCTGAGCTGTATTCCGGATTCCAGAGCCCGGGATTCCGTATTCCACAAGGCAATATTTCCGGATTTCGGTTTCCACAAGCAAAAATTTCCTGGATTTCGAAATCCAGATTTTCTAACATGGTTAGGTTACAGTGCAGCACTTGATAACTAACACAGCATTCTAACTCGTACTTAGAAATTCACAGTGGATATGTTCTTGAGGCAATTGTGGTTCGACAGCAGACTGGCGTTTGGCAATGGAAGCAACGCCCTTGTGTTGAAGCAAGAGGTCCTTGATAAGTTATGGCTGCCTGATACGTATTTCGAAAATAGTGTAAAGACCACTGTGCAAAAAGAAACAATGACGGTGGTACTAATTGGAGATGGTTTACTTGTTTATTCCAAGAGGTAATTTGAATCTTTAAGGGAAAAAAAATAACGCTGACACTTTTGGATATGTGTGGTACTTGAGTAGTCATTTGAAAAGTCGCTGCCAACAAAAAGTCGTTTCGGCGACAACTTTGCTAAAGAACTGGGGCTGACTCAAACTATTCGACACAAAAAAAGGACCCCATAATAATTTTAAAGCAATTTAGAGTAATTAATTTGCCGGAAGAAGGAGAATTCTTATATCAGAGCTCCGAGCTCCAGGTTAGAATCGAACTCACGACCCTCCGAGTTCTAGTTCGGACAATCTAACCACTGAGCTACTCGAAGCTCTATGGAGAGAAATTTAATTGTGATAAGATAAAGATTTCAAGAATAACTGTCCACCGAACACATGAGTGTACAAACAAAGGATGTACAATCAGTTTAATAATCTTTTCCTTTGTTTTTAAACTTGTAATTATTCGTTTAAGGGTAAAGGTCATCGCCAGGACGTTGATGAATTTCCACGCCTTTCCTATGGACAAGCAAACATTCAGATTGGATGTTGCATCATGTAAGTATTCGTAGCTTATTAGGCGGCATGTTAAGGCATAGCTCACATCCTAATCATTAACATAATTTGGCAAAGTGGCATTTGAGATGAAACGGATTGTTTTGATCAGTTGTCATGAAACTTGGCGAACAGTTTTAGCTCGTTGGCCTTAACAATATGTGACATATTCATTATTGAAATATTAGTCACGTGACCTGCAAATGATCGCTAACTTTCAAAGTGTTCAAATTAAAACGGGGGAAAGGAAATGAAAGAGTAGCAAATATTCTTAGGCACCAGTGTTTTTCCCATGGCCTGGATATTATGAAATAGCCCAACATGTATGCCTAAGTGGAGCAAGGATTACGAAATAAAGAAAAACAGGCCACTTGACTTTAAAAGACTTTAATAACTCTTATTTACAATCCAAACAGTTTCGCTGACAATTTGATGACAAGTATTTTTAGGCTGAAGTTTAAAAACCTTGCTCCCTTTTAGAAAACAGGTTTTATGACGTTATGATCCAAGGAATGTCACGTGATGCTAGGGAAGAATTTTCCAAAACTATTTTAGTGAGATAATGTCGCTCATGGGTACGGGTTGAGGTCGGGTTTTTCTCGTTCTGAATTCCGCTTTGTCAGAACGGACCGCCTTAGTAATTTTGTTACCCACAGTTATAATAGGATTTAATTGTTTTTGCCTTCTGTGCCATGTGTAATTATGTGTTGTGCGTATTCTTGACCTCCCTTGTAATTTAGTGTTATACACTACCAAAAGGGTTTAATAAACTGATTATTATTATTATTATTATTATTATTATTATTATTATCATTATCATATCTTTATGCAACCCTTTACTTGGACCCTTCTGCGTCATTAAAAAAGGTTATTTGCATTCTCTGTGGGGGGTCTTTTTAGCCTTTAAACCCATGCCTTAACTTACCTCATCGACTACCTATTTTTTTTTTTGCAGACGGATTTGAAACCAGCCAACTGCGCTACAGACGTATACATGTGCATATGTTGAACAAAGCCTATGAGATGTCAGATTTTGTGATCATCAATCAAAGTACAACAATCGATACCACAAAATACTTCCTAGGTATATATGAAACAGTCTCATGTCATCATAGTTTGGTAAACAAGTGTCAGAAAAATGTAGCAATGAGAAATCAGCAGTAAATCAAACATGGCGAGAAGGGGCGCTTTAAACTCTCTTTGGAGTCAGCAAGTTTCCATATTGAATTCGAGTCTTGGGATTTCTATACTTTGGTGCAGATTAATAGTAATGGTTTAGTTCTCCTCTTAAAAAATAGAGGCAACATGCACCATAAATTAATCAATATGATACAATTACAAATGACCACCTCACCCGATCAATTATCTTAAGATCGTAGTTGAATTTTTAAAATTGATTAATATGATTTATCACCTTTGAAACGAGACGGTTTGGCCGTGAATGTCCTGATCCCATCTATCTTTGTTACAGGTTGTTTTGAGATATTGAAAATCGCCTTTACTGCTAAGAGAAGAAGTGGTTATTATTTCATAAAGGTCTATTTTCCGGCTATTCTTTGCACAGTGGTTTCGTGGGTGGCTTTCTGGATCGACCCACGAAACATTGGGGACAGGGGAACTGTCGGTATTACCTCGCTGCTCACTCAGATGTTCTTGGTGCAAAGCGTTAATGAGAATATGCCACGTGTCAGCTATGTAAAGGCTGCTGATCTGTTTTTAATTGTGTCCTTCGCGTTCTCCTTTACTACGCTTCTTGAGAGCGTTATCGTTTATAAGGCCGCCTCAAGAGAAAAGCGGAAGATGAAATCTTCACCTATTGCCACACAGGAACACGAAACCGATCAACAGACATGTGTGTCGAATCAAAACGAAGAGACGGCTGTTAATGTCCTCGAGAGGAAGAACAGAATTTCAATGATTCTACACCTGACAGAAGCTAAAGGTATTTCAGAGGTCCGGGAAACGAACAGGCTCATGGAAACATGGATCGACGGAATATCCCGAGTCCTTTTCCCCTCTGCCTATGCAGCTTTTTTAGTTGGTTATTTCACTACGTATATGGCTTAAATTAGACTTTTTTCAGCACTTCCGCCATGCAGTGATTTTTTCTACCCTTCTTACAGGGTTTACATTTTGCTTGCTGCTATTTCTTAGGCAAAGTGGTGGGAGGGGAAGGTGGGGTGCAATAGTGTTCTTAAATCCAGTGGCCTAAAATTTTTTCCAAAACTAGTTCAGTGTCCTTTTGCGCCAATTTTCTTGTTGTTGTTGTTGTTGTTATTTTCGCACCAACCGCAAGACGGCGCTCTCAGAAGTTGCAGTTCTTATGTCCCTGACTCCACTGAGCATGCGCATGCACTCTTTCTTGATCGTTTAAAGAGTGGAGTCACGAACATTGATGTGCAACACACTGGCCTGCTACAAAGCAGCACAGTTTCTCGTTCAGTAACACAGCAGGCCATAAAATAAAATAAAAGCAGATAGTTATTTAACAAAATACCTTGATTTTAACGCGTTAGAAAGCAGACAAGGTATACACCCAGAGAATAAAATACTCCATACTTGATAAAACCGCAATATATGTACAGTTCTTTTTCATGATATGTACACCCAAGAAGACTTCGTGAATAAATAGTACATTTCATTTTCCGATCTGGAGAACAGTTAAAAGTGTGACTACACAATATACAATGGTGCAATGCGCTACAAGTTAACGTTCATAAGAAACTAACAACCGTACTCTTAATACTGGGACAAAACAAGAGAGGACGAACAGGTATCTCCTCTTAAACGAAATCAATTTTTGGAAGGATATATTTACGAATCGCGAATGCAGAGCACTAGTTTGAGTCCATAAGTAATATGAATTTTTCTTGGTCCCAGAAAGGTCAGGACTCAAACAATTTCAAAAGTTGCGAGCGACATGTTTTCTAAAGATGTAAGACAAAGAAACATAAGAAATTGAACAAATTACAGACTTTCGACGCTTGACACTAAAGCCACCAACTAAGATAACAGCGCCATTCACTGTAGTTGAAGCCAAACTGCGGGGAACTGCTTTGAATTTCAAAATATAATTTGCACTGATTAAAAAGAGTGCTAACTTGTTTTGTTTTTGGCCGTACAAGCACGTAAGCATTTCACACTGTTAAACACACTTTGCTTCAAAGTCAAAATGTTAAAATTTTACACACGTAAAAACTGATGAACTCAACGTTCTGACCGAACTGCGCATACCCACAAAATAATTCCAAATCCACCATGAAATGTGATCCAGGTTTAATACCGGGTGAACGACAAATTTTCTTTCCCGAGCTTGGAACAAGTACAAATTCCGAAACCCCGCAGGTAGTGAAAGAACAACCTTCCCGAAACCCCATAGCGCAGTCTAACCATTGTGTCTGATACAGCAATGTCAAAGGATTGGTTATTGAACGATCCTGCAGTCATTTTCGAACCAGAAAGAAAACAAAAGAGAGCTTTAAATTCAAAGACGAGGACGACAACGAGTACAAGATTTTCTCAGTACTAAGTAGTGCTCTTGCGTGAACCAGCGTCATTTTGGCGGGAAAAAGTGGTAGCCGTCGTCATACTACTCCGCGTTTTAGCGAGAATGTCGTAGTGGCGGGAACAAGTTATCAAATTGTAGAAGTTTAATCGTTTTGCGACTGGGAAAGGGCTAAACCTTCTCCAATAAAAATAACTGTACTAATTTTTCCGGTGAAAAATAGTACAATGAAGCTTTCCGGGTTGAATATTTTTCGAGATTACGCGAAAAAACTTTAAGTAAAATCTCGTACTCGTAGTCGCCCTCGTCTAAGAATCTAAAGCTCTCTATTGTAACCTCAGAAAACAACCAACATTTCGCGATGCACCATCGGATTCCCAGCTACTCCCCGCTAACTGACTTCTGGGGAACGAGCGTAAAAATTTCATACTGATGACGAGTCACTACCCAGATCTGGGTAAAGTTTCTGATTGTTTGAAGCAAATTTACCCCGCGCCGGGATCTGGGTAGTGACGCGTCATCAGTATGGAATTTCTGCGCTCGTTCCACAAATTTTATTTCGCGGAAAAACCAGTGGTGGAGTCGCAACAAGTCGGCCGTTTTCTCAGGTTAAAAATAATGCGGGATCATGTTACTGTCAGTGTTAAGAAATGTAGACAGAACAGATATATTCACGGACTGCGGTTATTTTCGGAGCAAACTTGAGGATCGTTTCCAAGGGTTTTACAGACTTCTGTGGAAACCTGGAATGCGACACAAAGACAGCTCACGCGTCTCTGGATGACTTTTACTGTCGAGGATACCAGTATATCTCGCCTAGCGTCCGCTATCCCGACATTCTACGACCATTTTCCGAAACCGTGCAGCTGAGTTTGGCCGACCGGTTTTAGCCGAACTGGGTGGAGATGGTGTCATTCTAATTTGATTGGCAGACGAAGGCGGCGAAGGAGAGAATTGTCCCCGGGAAAGAACGTTCGCATCAGCGTGTTTACTTGTGAGCGTGCGATTAGCTACCACAGTATGAACATGACGGTCATGCGGGGTCAGAGGAGGTCTGGGAACGACATGAGATTCGGACCCGGCGGATACTCGTCTAGTCAAAGAAGGCTTCCGTTCCAAAGAAAACTGTCTTCTGGATTCCGAGAGTTTTCGCTTGTGTTGCCTGTGATACGAACACAGAGACAACGGGTAAGAATTTGCTAAGTAGGCGGGAAAGGGGAAGGGATGGATGGTAGGATCTTTTTTAAGCCGCAACAGTGGTAAGATGCTTGAGAAATGATTGTAAAAGAACAACGACTTGACCAAAACCCAAAAGATCAGATGTTTTCCTCATTACCCATATACTTACGTTATTACACCTGCTTCGTTATGTAAAAGTTCTTTTTCGAGCTTAGTTCCTAAATCACGTAAATCTGCAAAAAAAAAATCGAACAAGCAACACAATTACATCAGGGGCACCCAACGAGAATATAGTTCAAAACCACTTAACATAGCATTGTTGAACGTAATTTAGTATTCAAACGTTAGATATAGGCATATTTTTATCCCCTAAAAACTTTTCATCTGTTCGGATTTCCTAGCTGAAAGTCTAGTGATCCGAAAATTTAGGGATAAAAACTTACCTTCTCGAAAATTTCAGCCAGGAAAAGGCTCCCGAAAATTCTAGGTGGCCTTTTTTAGGGTCAAAATACGTTAAAAATGGGTAATTATACCATTTTGTATATGTTCGAAAATCCTAGGAGAGGCAGGCAAGCAAGAAATTTTACAAAAAATGCTCTGAAAATTCTAGATCTCAAATCGTCTTCCGAACAGATATTTTCCCGAAAATTGCCGTTGGGTGCCCCTGTTACATAACCCGCACTCGACCATGATATGATATGGCGGGTACGGTTTGTTAACGCTTTTCTTTCGGGATAACAAGAATAATATAAAATTTGAATGCTGGTGATAAAAGCAAAGCCAAAACATGAAATCAGAACGTTGGTTTTTAAGTAAAAATGTTTTCGCGCGCGAATGTCAGGCAACTATTAACGTCTTAAAGTATAAGGTTGCACCTCTTAGAGTCGGTTCTGGGTCAGGAGATGATGTGATACTTCCTCTGTAATCTGATTCTTCCATCAAGCAGTCCTAAAAAAGAAGAAATGCTGTGTTGTTGTTGTTGTTGTTTCTTTAAGATTTAAAGATACCGTAACAGTCGTAGGAATGCCGGTTAGATCAAATCTCGTGAAATCATATATTTAATGCCAAACAGACTGCCACAACATTCTGCATAAGGAAAGGATAGACAATATGCCTGTAGAAAAGACGGTTTGTCGTTTTTTTAGGCAAGCGCGAAGCGAGTGAGGAGCGCAACGGGCAACGGGGGAAGGGAATAAAAAGGCAAAAATGAGATAACGCCTGTTCTAAAGGCTAACATGTATGTACATTATGACATGACAAACAACGACCAAAAGACCCATCTTTACCTGTAAAAAAGCAATGTCTCCGACAAGCCCTTCTTTTTCTTCTACTAACAGCTGCCTGCAAAATTCAAGTAACAATATAAAGGTCTGTAACTTATCTTAATTTAACGATTATAAAATTCAGGAAGTTACATCTGCGATGGTCAAAATACATTAAATGAAGAGCTCGTTAAAGATTATACACAATAGTGGGATTTTTAATTTTCCATTTTTCGAGTGTTCAAGTCAGTGGTTTAAACGTACATCTACTACAGTGTAGACTATCATTCTTTGAATAAAATAAATAAATAAATAAAATAAATAACGATTTGCAGGTAGCACATCCACATAGTGGTTCTTCGTCTACCTGATTCCTGGTCGAATTGGCATTTGGAAATGTTGGTTTTTGAGGAGAGGGGAAAACCGGAGCACCCGGAGAAAAACCTCTCGGAGCAAGGGAGAGAACCAACAACAAACTCGACCCACATATGGCGTCAACGCCGGGATTTGAACCCGGGCCACATTGGTGGGAGGCGAGTGCTCTCACCACTGCGCCACCCTTGCTCTCCTTGGTACACTGTGCATGGAATGTCGGCGTTTCGCCTACAAGTCGTTTCGCCTACACTCGGGTCGATTCGCCTACACGATCAAAGTCGTTTCGCCAACACAGTTGCGCTTGAAGTTCGATAAGTATTAAACTAAAACAAGTTTAATTTTACCTGTTACCTAGTTCAGGCGTGTCAACAACCGATCTTTCTTCACACTCAGGTCGATTCGACTTGTAGGCGAAACGACCGGTTTCCTGTACATGGATGGAGTTTGTACAACAACATAATTCCCTACCTTAAATAATCAGTAATTCTATCAATTTCAAGCGCGTTAAGTTTGTCATTCATGGATTCCAAATGATCACTAAGAGAAGAAGTACACCTGAAACAAATGCAGATCAGCCAGCCTCATTAATAACTTCAAATTGGCCCAGGACTTATTCACCCCATGTAAGGGACACCAGATTCCAGAATTCGGGAGGTTTTGTTTGTGGAGTCAAGAATCCGGAAAAATTTTTCTGGTGGAATCCGGAATCGTGGGTTTTGGAATCCAGAATACAGCTCAAGGATTCCGGAATCATGCTAACAATTCGATCGATCTCAACATGTCTATTTGTAGAAATATCCCGCCCGTTCATGTAATTTCTGTGGCAGTTATTATGGCTGTTGTTTAACGATGCATATTTCTTTCAGCCTTTGTTGTGCTTTAAAACAGAAGGACTACCAGAAGTGTAATACAGAGTTTTGGAGTCTGTCTTCAGGTTAACTGTCTGGTTACATAAAGGCCCAGGTATTTTCAATTTCGGACCAGTTTTTTTCTTAACTGGGACTCATTGGTTCTGGACTACGACTCGTGATTTTTCACAAGATGAGTCCAAGGACTCACCACAACTATTTGTAACAAAATCACTGCTGTACAAAAGGTCTTTTAGATCACCCAAATAGAGATTTTTAAGACCAAGTTAACAGATATGTCTTTGAAGAGCAAAGAGCTTTGGAGACACACAGCATATAATCGCTCAGCAGCTGTACTAAGTTTATACTCACCTACTACCATCACTACTGGGTGTGGCTCGCATGGGGGTTTGACGCCCATCTCTTGATGAATGTGCAGTGGATGGTCGGCTGGAAGAGCTGGAGGGGCGGCTTGCTAATTGGGAAAAGAAATTTCTCAATGAAGTACAGTATTTTTACAGTATTGAAATACTCTACTTAAACAAGATATCAAGATAGTACAATGTAGTGAAAATGAGAACAAGTAATTTCTGGATTTTATTACATTTGTTCTTATTCCAGAATAGAGTCAAATACATGATGGTGCCCAAATGGATTAATTAGTATCTAACACCAGTGCTTATAAAAAGGAAACATTAATTAAAGTGGAACTGTGCCTTCTCAAAAATAGACCACCACAATGGCAAGTTCTCCTTTGTGGGTTTAACTGACAGCAGTGAGTTTTCAAACAGAGAGTACACAATCTTAAAAATTCAAGATACTGCCAGCAAGATCCTGAAAATTTGCGATCTTGAAAGTAAGGTGTTGCAAGATTAAGATCTTGTCTGCAGTATGTTAAAAAATCCAAGATCTTGCTGGCAAGACATTGAAAAGCTGCAATGTAAGATCCTGCCTGTTAAGTATTGGCAATTCATAATCTTGCTGGCCAGCTAGAGGTTGAAAATCCAAGATCCTGAAACTCACTTCTAGTAATTCACCAACGCTAACTCGCATTGTATGGCGTAATAATATATTAAGTACTAATATTGTTGCATAATGTACATGTAAACTCCACTACATGTAAATAGCCAAGTGCCATGGCAGAGGCATTAGGGCATGAAAAATTTCAATTTTCTGCCATTTTTCATTATGGGTTTACGACGAAACACATTGCAAATAGATTTCTATTTTGCTCTGTAAATTGCATTATTCTATAATACACCTGCACTGACCTTTATTGTCGAAAACATATTCCACTATATTGGATTCTTCTTTGCTCAAAATGGAGGATGCATTTCTAAAGAAAACAAGACAATAATAATTAGACAAAGAAACTTTCACACTTACAAAGACTGAACATATACAAAAATAAATGTACAGTTTAAGACGATAATGGCAGTTTATAGTATATTATAAAAAACAATCTTTCCAAGCTATAATCAAAACAATGACAAGACACCAGGGTCACTATATGGCAATCACATATTGATTGGGATTTGGAATTATCAAGCACAATTGCAAGAATCCTGATGAGATCAGGTTGGACAATCTGTGATGTGTCTAGCAATGTCCTAATAGCTTGACCTGAGTATTTCTACTCTTTGAAATATCAGCACAGGATACTTTAGGGTTAGTTCCAGGCAATTATTTGGCTTCCCCTTCAAGTTAACTGAGAGAACAGCTGACATTTTGCAAGGCCAGCACAATCCTCAGAGCTCAGATTGCACTCTATGTAGTGTAGAATGAACACACTACTATTTTCACTAAGCTCGTATACACTTGTGAATAGTTTTTTTTTTAATTCAGCAATAATATTATACACATGTTATAATCTTATAAATTTTACACTTGGTCTCTAGTCAAAATAGTTTTATCAATTCGATTTTAGTTGCCACAATAGTTGCTTATTTTAATTATAGTCTCCCCATCTAGTGGTTCCTCTACTGCTATGTTAGATTGACACTTAAATGAAGGTATTGATTGACTGATTGATTGACTGTTTTCCCCACGAAATAATATGTCAGAGAAACAAGCACAGAGATTCCTTACTGATGATATGTAATTGCAGTCATATCTTTTTAGTGCTTTTGATCAGTCGTGCCTCAAGGGAAACTTTCCACTTTGAATCAGAAGCACTACCTACACTGTAGACCCTGTAGGTCTGTTTAGCGACATGTCATCAGTATGGAATTTCTGCAGTCTTTCCTCAGACATCATTCTCTTGTCCACAGGACTTTTACTTTAATATACAAAGCTCAGTCTCATACCTCCCCATAAACTGAGAGCACCCTCCCCCTTTGCAGTCTTTTGCCACACAAACTGCACTGTAATTCAGATTCACATGACATTTTTTTCTGATCTGTATTAAAAGGTCAGATGAAATATCTCTTGTAACATACTATCAGCGTGCAAAGAAAGTAGTGTCCAATAGCCTGGGGCTAGTTGATTTTACCATCGGGCCAGTAAATTATGTTTTTAACTTGCCTGATGGGCAAGTGACGTTTTTTGAAGAATTCGAATAACAGAAGAACTGTGAAATCAGAATTATTCTGCTTGTCAAAGAGCTTTTGGGGCTAGTTGAAATGATGTCTGGGCTAGTAAATGCTAGCTTCAGCTTGCCTGAATGGCAAGCTGTAAAAATGATTTTCTTTGCACCCTGTACTATAGTCACAATTTGTAAAACTCATACCTTCCTTCCTCCTTTGCTCTTTGCTGCAACATTTCAACAAACATTTTGATTTCTTTTTTGAGATTATCTCTTATCATTGGAGGTTCGGGAAGTCTGCTCAAATGCTTTTTTAGAGCTTGCTCTGTTAAAAACAACATACATGTAATATAAAATTTCATAAATCAGGTGAAAGGTAGTAAAGGTATACCAGCCAACTTTTTCCAAGTCAAATGCACGAAATTTTCATCATCATAACTAGAATTTCCAAAAACGTCCCAGCTACTTCCGAATATTTCCAATAATTTTCCAAAGACTTCCAAACTTTGCCGAAAATGTCTGTAGATGTGAGCATTTCGAAGCTATTTAAAGATGACAATTTTGCTTTTGTGATACATTTAGGACACAAAGCCAATAATTTATAAAGCACTTTTTTGGAACATTTTCAGGAAATTGGAAATGAATTTTTGTTGGTACACTGTACTTATGGCTAAAAAAAACATCCGGATTTGTGAGTCAAAAATGACAAATTATTGTCCTTGATGGATGAGAATATTGTCTTTAGTCCACAGGCATGAAACTCAAGCACAATGCATACCAGTTGGCAGGTTATATAATAGCATTCATTTAAGGATAACTTGAGGGGATAGCACTGCACCATGCCCACAGTTACTTTTTACAGACCTGAAACTCAGACAAACAAATAACATCAGCAATTCCTCACTTTTGTCCGACTTTCAAGTTTTACCATTTAAATGTCAAGTTTGTCTAATGAACAAAATGACAAAAGTCTTACAAACATTGCAAATTAATCACTCTGGCATCATTTGCGCCCTGCACTATTCTACCATAGATAATTCAAATTTGGATATTAATCATAACTGTAACAAAATTCTCAAATCAGATTGGCCATCAACTGCCCTGATTTTTTTTTTTTGGACAATTTAATAGGACAGTATGCGTCATGCCTAAGTAATTGGACAGTACGCACCATCACGCGTGCGCTTAAATGGCTTTTTTTCACTACTAGTAAAAAAAAAAACTGGAATTTCTTCTGTCTTGATTCAAAAAAGGGCCTTATATATCATAAATTTTGTTAAAGTTATGATTAATTGGTAACAGAACTTTGTGTCATCCAATTCAGTCTGTAATCATACTCGTCATTAAACAAATCGGACTCCCACCACGCGGTCGTCTGATTTTGTTAATCACTCATATGACTACAGACCGAATTGGACTCCACTCAGTTCTGTTAATTACCATTACTTACTAGATATTATTTTATACCTCTTGCTTCTTTTTCTGTCTCTTCTCGGTAATCTTGCCAAATTTCAAGCAGTGTTGATGCCTGTGTGAGGAAACGCTTGAGAGTCACTTTGCTATTTTGTGTAAATAACAACAATTGTTTAATAAGCTACATTATTCAAGGAAAATTTTTGTAGTTTTGTGTAACAAGTTGTACATTCATTGTAAGCAAGATTAGCTATAGACAAAAAGTTAACCAACCTCCTTTTGCAAATCCAAAGTTTCTTCCACTAAATCTTCTCCCAAAGCTTCTTTTATCTCTAATCGTTCAGTTTCAGGGACAAATTCTTCAACTAGTCTCCATAAAGATGGTCTTATTTCGAATGCCTCAAGTCGCCATTCCATAGATGACGAATGCTCAGACATCGAACGGTTTTAACAGTGTCCAAGAAGTACTTCACGAAGAAAAATTACATGACCACAAACTGACAGAAATTTTCGAACATTCTGCCTTCACAAAAAACGTACAGGATTTAAATTTATGGCTTTATGAAGAACCAAATCGCACCTTGTGTTTGAAGTCAAGGACGCCATTTTGTTGCTCAGTACAAGGAAAGCTTGGTAACTTAGCCTTCCAAATAACAGGCCTGGCAGCAGAGCTTATCCTCAGATCTCGCGCGTTTGACAAGACCAACTGATTCAGGTATACGACTCGCGACTGCAATTATATAAATTTAATCTTTTTTGAACGATTCAGTTTGAATGATTTTGCACTTTTCTGAATTTACTGGGTTATGGAAGGATGGGTGGGTGATTAGTTAGCCCGTGCAACAAAAGCCGATAAAACACGAGGTTGACGGACAAATGACATCGTCCACCACCCCCGGGGAGGTACTTTAGGAATTTCTGGGTGGGGATGTGCCGCTGGGACCCTGGAACCCTTAACCTGTACCAGAGCTAGTTCAGCTACCCTATACCAGAGCTAGTTTTGCTACCCTATACTAGAGTAAACTCCCCAAATCCCCCCTATCCTAGAGTAGCTGTTTCCCTAGTCTAGATAAAATCTTCAACCAACTGATCAGTTTCCTGAAAAATGGTACCCTATTCTGGAACCAAATGTTCTGATTTATATACCCTATCCTAGAGTAAACTGCTTGAAAACCGTACCCTTCACAGCGGCACATGCCTATATAACCCATATATGGCAGTACCCCCCCCCCCCCCCCCCCCCCCCCCCCCCCCCC